GACTAGGATAGATCGCTTGATACGATCGTTCCCGTTGATCTTGGCGAAAACGTTCCATGGCCTCATCGAGGTATGTCTGCAGGAGTCCTTGCGTAGTAGTCGTCATCTGCTCTTTAGCACCTGTGGCCTTCGATCGCGAGTTCCGCTTCACCGACTTGACTTGATCGAATAGATGTGTTGCACCACTTGGGCCTAGAGACATTTGCTGGATGCCGACCGAATCGTCTGACTCCATCTCTGATTCCGCCGAGGCAAAATTCGACGATCCGGTATGATACCCCCTCGGGACATCGGCGATCGTAGCAACCGCTTGATCCGCGGATTCGCACTTCCCCGTCAGAGGAATTAGCTTGTCATACAGCGATCGACACGCATGGATCACCTGATCCTGATCGCATTCCAGCAGTTCGTTCGCATCGAACGCCCCAGCGACGTATTCAGCCTCTTGCAACAGCTGGATGATCGCGCTGATCCCTTCTAGTGCGTAAGTCGCCACCTTCGTCCGGGATATCGGGCCTTGTATCTCTCCGATTAGCTTAGAATTCAGTATCCGTAGCACATAGTCGCTCGATAGAAGATTCTTGAGCGCCTTCCAATGGAATCCCTGCGCCAGTTGATCCAACTGCCAGCCTTCCAACTTCATATCCAGAGCATTACGAACTTGATCGGCATTACGATCGCTTTTTTACGCCGTGATCGTGTCGATCCGATCTGGGCTCTTCTTTCTTCACCCAATCTGTCTTTAAAGCCGTCTTCTTTGACATTGCCTGAGTGGTCTTGTGTAGTTTTTGTTCAGTTTTCGCTAAAGGATTGTCATCTAGCGGATCGTGATTTGCAGCAAGATCCACGGTGGTCCCCAAAGGGACCATAGGAGGGGGTCGAGCTTTACTTCCAGATGGTAGATCGATCTTCCTCCTTGATTTTCGTGTCATCAGAGCCCCTCCCAAAACTCTGATAATCCGAGGATCCTTTAAGATCACGCGTCGGAGGTGATCCCTTTGCCTCCAACGCTTCCATCCCAGGTTAAACCTTTACTTTCACTTCTTCACTTAGGAACTCACGGTGAAATCCCAAGTCACCAAAAGATCCCGGCACGCGCACCATTGTGGTGGAGTGGCGATCGCTCAATATATGAGTCGATTCCAACTCTCCACTGGCGCCCGGACGACCGACTAACGGAGGGGGTACTCCGAGTCCGTAGGTGTTGCCTTCCTCACCTTGTGTACCCGTCGGTAGGGCGGGTTGCACTCTTCCAGGTGGACTCGTGTCGAAGGAAAACTTGGCCGTGTTGGAGATGGGGTTGTGATCGTGCGGAAATCTTCACGCGATCACGGGGTACTTGTGGGTACTAATATAAGTTACCCTGATCTCAACGAGATCGCCTTGTCCACTATGTGGTAGCTTGATCCGCGAGCCTTCTCACGAATCTTGCTCCTTGACTTTACGTGTCTTGCTGCGTCCGATCGCATTTGATGTTGCTTGAGAGTTCTTGAACACACCTGGCCAAAACAATCCAGGTGTGACACTCGCGTAGACGTGTAGCGTGACTCTTTATTCGACGGGGGGCCAAAGATCCTACCCGGAAGAGATAACGTATGCCTTGTGAAGTAAATTGAACTCTGTTTAATGTTAGCCAACCAACCTTAACCCTACCCCTATGCCTATCCGTATATCTTAACCAGATGACACGCGTCGCCGTTCCAGGAAGATCGTCCCCTCGCATTTATGTGGTCCACACCCAGTATATCCACCGTTGTATCTTCTTGTGGCCCACCCAAGATATCCTCGTGATCCTACTAGCGGATCGGGATCCTATGAGCGGATCGGGATCCTACTAGCGGATCGTGATCCTACTAGCGGATAGAGATCCTGTTAGCGGATCGGGATCCTGTTAGCGGATCGAGATCCCACTTAGCGGATCGCAGTTGGAGATCGGGCTTGCGATCCTGGGTTAGGATCGCGTTCTTCCAATGAGATCGAGGGTCTTGTATTGCCATGTCTCACGACGGATTGCGTAATCACAACGGGTGTGACTACCCTATAGCCTCATCCCAGTCTGGGCGATCATAACCACTTGGGGATTGGGTACGCTATTGTCAGCCACCCATCCCAGCTTGTATCCACCAATCATAACATTCTTGGCTTAGCCGGAGTGAGTGACCCTTTGGATCGCCAATATTAGTCCCAAGGAGATTTCTTTGTGACCGCTTTGCCACAAGACTGCTGAGAGCGCTGTGGAGGAATACGTTGCTCGCTAGACGTCGATAGACTAAAACAAAGCCTGTGGCGCGTCGAACGCGCCGGCCGCACAATAACTTCAAGGGCATAACGCGCTGCAGTGGCAGACAAATCATATACGGGAGAGTGAATTTGGCGTGATTGGTCTTGTTGCTGTATTCTGCTGTCCCTGCCATGGTTTTGTTTTTTGCTTTTTAAATCACAGCTTTTAATGCTTGCGGTGTGTCCCTTATCGATTCAACGTAATTCACGATACTCGTGAGCGTTCTCTTGTTAACTAGGCTTACTGGTTCGTTTGTTTTCTGGTATCGACTCCTGGTAGTTTCTTTGTCATCTCTTTTTCAGGTACTTCGAGCCCCATACCGCAACCCATGCTGTCAAATCGAATCCTGCACATCGACTCAAATCGTCAGTCTTGCTCTGTCTACGCCTTTGAACAACTGGGCCGCTCCTACTGTGTAAGCAGTCCGAAATTGTGTTGCGTTATCATACAACCATCAGCGTAAGCCCAAAAGATGAGCCCATGTTTGGTCATGTGTGTGACGTTTGCGCCAAACTTCGCGGCAGCTATCTATGTGTATAGCAGTTTATTTTTGTCCGTTGTCGATGAGGCATGCGTAACGCCCTGAATATCCGTAAAATTGACAAACGAAGAACTAAGTTGATTGGCAAACCTGGTAAACAATCATTTACAAGACGGCAACTGTAACGGGGCAGCCCGTTACATGGAATTGTAACTTTAAGGAAAGTGACAATAAAGAATTTGAAGATGGATATTCTTTAAACAATATCACCAAAGTGGTGATATTGAAGGGTCGACCAAAGAGTCTGTTCATTGGTTGATATCTTGATGATATCAACCCACCAATCGCCGCAAGACGCGCGCAATCAGTGGTGACGAGACGTCACCATACATCCAGTTATATTAGAATAGTTAAGCTAAGTCAAACAGAGAGACAGTAGTTAAAAGACTTAATTATATTAATATAACAGTTCTGCTTTTACCCTACCTACGCTTCCTCGCTTGCCACGTGTACGTCTGTCGGGGCACCGAAAACCCTTGCTTTAAGTTCACGCAAGGGTGTGCCCCGTTACAGCAACACTTGTTAAGAAGCGCACCATGCAACATGCTGATTAAACCGTGACCGCTCGCTCACCTTTCCATCCATTTATTGGACTGTACTACACGTCTTTTCATAGCATTGCATCATCAATCGAAAGAAGATAAAGCCTTTGCCGAATCGGACATCTTGCACACGTAGAAGTAGACCCCAAACTCTTTCGTAGGCTACAAAAACCACGCAAGCTCGACAATATATGTGGAAAATGCCACAAGCACCAAATGCACATCAACAAAAACTTACCGTAACAACAAATACGACTACTACTATCCACACGTAATACTACTAATTTTTACCACCACTACATGTAATACTACTACTTTTCACCACCACTACTCCTGCTCTGTCATCCGCGTAGCCACACCCCATGAACCTCGCGGCGTCTCTCGCGCTGCTCCTCGCGACGTGCAGTTCCGCGCACGAACTCAGCGGCGTCGTGCGCCCGCGCGCGTCCACTGCTGAACCGGTAGAGCCGCTGGTCGTGCAACTCGACGGCGGCGCGCAGACGGCGTTCGTGCGGGCGGACGGCTCGTTCCGCTTCGCCGACGTCGCTATCGGTCGCCACGTCGTGAGCATTCCGTCCACGGCGCTGCTCTTCGGGCAGTTCCAAGTGGACATCGAAGCCGACGGAGCGGTGCGCGTGCGCGAGGCTGCGTACGTGGGCGCTCCGTGGACGGCCGCGAGGTATCCGCTGGAGGCGGAGCCCGTGAAGGCGCTCGAGTACTTTGACCCGCGCGAGAAGTTCAACGTGCTGACGCTGGGGATGAACCCGTCGTTCTTGACGATCATTGTGCCCATTGGGCTCTTGTACGTGCTGCCGAAGCTGACGGCCGGAATGGGTACGTTTGTCGGGCGAGCGGTGGATTGTTTGGGTCTTTTGGGGCTTTGGGGGCCGCATTTTTGGGTCCCGCGCTGGGTCGTCGTTGGTTACTGGTTTGTGGGTGTTGGGTGCGTTTGGTGCGTTTGTTGTTGTTGTTGTCGGTATGTGGAGCAGACCCGGACGACGTGAAGAAAGCTCAAGAGGAGATGGGGTCGGCCGACCCGTCGTCGTTGCTGGCGGGTATGCTGGGCGGTGGACAGCCGAACGCCGACGACAGTGACGACGACTAGCTGGGTGGGGCGAAGCGGGACTGGAGCGAAGCGGAACTGGGTGTTCTTCATTGATGGGCTTGCAGCTTGTGGACGGAGGCAGTGAATGTCTCTTGTCGTGGAAGTGAGTAGCTCCACGGACCTGTGTGGCTCCGTTGCGGTGCTCGCGTTCTGCCAGTTGTGTGCAGTGGGGTCTTGTTGGCTGCACTTTTGTGCGGCACAAGTGGCTCATTGTTGCAGGAAGAGAGAGGTATTGCGCTGCTGTCTACATGTGGTGGCTGTCGTTTCGTTCAGTTGGCTCGTGCTGCGCAGTGGCTCAGGATGAACAAATACAGTGGTCGCGAACATGGCACTATCCTTTCCACCACCACACTCTCTCTTGACTCGGGTTTCAACATAATCGGATGGAAAGCAAAGGATAACGTTACTACTTTTGGAGCATACACATCTCCACGGCCGCCCGTCGACGAAAGAGCACACGATAGAGTAAATTGGAAAGGGACATGTGGACTGCAGTGAAGTAGCTAATGATCATCCACACGTCGGCTGCGTCTATTCCTCGGCACCCTTTTTCTTCTTGTGCTTCTTCTTCTTCTTCTTCTCCTTGTCGTCCTTCTTGTCGCCTTCGTCCTCCTCCACTTCCGTCGCCTTCTTCTTCTTGTGCTTCTTCTCCTTCTTCACCTTTGGCGCCGCCTCCATCTCCTCCGCCTCCTCCTCAGCCTTTCGCTTCTTGCTCGACACTGTCATATCTGCATCGGCATTGTACGACGTGCTCGTCTCCGTCTTCGTATACTTCTTGGCCTCGTTCTTGACCTTCCCGTTGCTATTGGGGACGCCCGAGAAGCCGTTCTCGAGCTGCCGCATGCGGGCCTCCACCTTGGCGCGGTTGTCAAAGCCAATCGTGGCTTCAGTCGCGTCTCCCAGTGCGTCCACGCGCACAGCCAGCCGTCTTGGCAGCCAGCACGCGAGAGATCTTGCCCTTGTGCTTCGGCGCCGTCTGGCCGATGAGCGACGCGTGGTAGATGAGCCCGTACTTGGGCGTGTCGTGCTTGGTCTTGAGCGCACGGAAGAGCGCCTTCTCGGCGCCGAGGATCTGCACCGTACTGGCCGGGTGCTTGGCCAGGTTCATCAGACTGCCAGCGTGGGCAATCAGACGCGCGCCGACGAGCTCCCCCACCATGACCGTGAGGTTCGGGGCAATGGCGTTCATGCGGTTCTTCAAGTAGTCAAAGAGCTGCGCACGGTACTCGGTGAGCGAGATCACTTGCTCGCACAGCGCCGAGATGTTGGCCACGTCTTCCTGGGAAACGTCCGTGCCCATGGACACCTCGCACACCTCGCGCATCGAGGCCTCCACGTCTTCAGGCAGCACATCGGAAAAGTCCAGACTCTTGACCTGCGACCGCACGCCCATCTTGATCACGCACTTGGCGTACTGCAGATTGTCCGTCACGATCTTGCCCATCTCGGGAAAGTGCCAGCCAAACCACTCGCGCACGCGCATCGAGTACGTGTTGATCTCCTTGTCGAGCTCGTCCAGCAATCCGATCGCCTGCACGATCATCGTGTCCACCTTGTCGGCGCTAAACTTGAGCTTGTAGCGCGACAGCGAGTGCGACAGCCCGAGCGTCATGGCCTTCAGGTCGTCGTCCTCGAGCCCCGTGATGAGCGTGTCCATGTTCGCCCGAATGCCGCGCATGATCTCGTGCACGGCGCTGTCATTGACGCACGCGATGCTGAGCTTCTCCTTGATCAGCGCGCCCAGCGCCTTGTCCGACACGGCCAACTTGTCCTTCAACCCCGCGTCGACCACGTGCTTCTTCAGCAACTTGCGCAGCGATTTGCCCATCTTGCCGTCCACCATGTCGGTTGCGGCCGCCACAGCTTCCGTCGTGTCTTTGAACGCGTTCAGCCCCTTGAGCCACACCACACCGGTCCGTCCATGGCACCGAACGGTTCATCACTGGCAGCATACACTTCGTCATCAAGCGCGATGCCACCATAAGAGGTATCGAATATCATACACGGGATGGAGTCATTTATTTGTTCTTTGCAACTTTCATGTCATACATACGCAGTCGAAATGCAGATGTCATACGCAGTCGAAATGCAGATGGACGCAGCTTCCGCCGTTTACTCGTAGATTGCTATCAGTAGTGAGGTAGATTAAGCTGATGTGATTAGTGTATACTATGACATTAAACTCAAAACGCATGGTTCGATATTGTCGAAGACGCTCAATGCTCGACAGTGGCTACAACTCCATAGTCCCCTCATGTAGATAGATGACTAGGTGCTATTTGAACTTGCGGGATTTGCCCGCCAACATGTTTACCTCTTTACACTTGTGCCCACCGAGCTATGGTCCACTTGCATCGGCGTATGGGTGACACGGCCTGTCAAGGCAGGATACGAAAGATAAACTCCATCTGGAATTTTTCTGGTAAATGGCTCGAACGCTTCTACTACACTGGGCAACCAGATAACTGAACGATGTTGTGCTCGTTGAACGTTCAACGATGAAGTGGATGGCATAGCGTCATTTTGTTTGGCAGCATCTCACGGTAGTAGTTACCCATTACCAGAAGAGACGCTTTTCTTTGCGCATCTCGATTCGTTGGATTGCTCAATGGTTCTTTGATTGCGGTTATAAGTTTTCGTCGAACGAAAAGGATAAGCGATGCAGTTCACTTCTTTACTTACAAAATGGCACTGTTTGCCATTCAGTGATTAAATGTTCTTGTTAGTGTTGAGCTGTCCACCACAACGTACAAATGGTACAGGAGCTTTAGTTCATCTCCAGGACACGCTAATCTCTTGCATCACATCTTCCTCAACGTCCACAATGATATCGAACTGTTTAAGCAAACCTCGACTTATTGCCATTGCATCCTTGCTTTGCCCGACAACACGGAAGCGATGATGCGTTATTACTGACTCCGACGTCAACTTCGCACAGCGAAACTGGATTACTGGTGGGCCTTTGATCTGTCGTCAACGTCCATCTTCTCGAGCACATCGGCGAGGATGGTACCATCGTGTGTCTGACTACTGCACTAGATTGACCACTGCTTGGTTAGTAATACTGCGAAAACATTTTCGATCAACGCACATAAGTAATGATTATATACACGGACACGCACATCGATGCAGAGTGAATATACAATACCTTCGTTCGTTGCACTTGGCTGGACTTGCCCGATACGCTTGCAGCCCTCGTCAGTGACCATATCTCTTGTCTCGGGAAGTCGGAAGTTGTCTTCGTCTCGTGCCTTTCTTCCCATTGTCTGTCTGCGGTCCGTGGTTCTTTTTGCGCTCAACCTGCTTATTTTCTCGTCTCGTTTCATGAGTGGTAAACAATCGACTGGATTCCGATTCTGCGTTGTGCAAACACGTCACGGGACACGTGCGCCACATTTTGTTCCCGTTGCCATCCGACTCTGACGTACAGTCGTTGCCCACAGTTCCACTTGTGACGACTGCCCTTGGTTCCGTGCTTCATCTCTTGTCAAAATTGATCTGTTTGTGACAATTTTGCGCTGTACGACCCTCACGCGATGTCGCCGTGTAGTTTTTTGCTCGTATATCTCAATTGAACAGCTGTCGAAAACGGTGCAGGACTAGTACACAATATGGTACCATCCTCCTGCATGGCCACAGGAACTCTGGAACATTCTGAAACTTTTGAGACCATCTGGCGTTGCCGCCCCCGCTGTCGAGATCCGCTTATTGACAGTTCTGGAACACTCTCCGCGATTATGCTCCAAGGTCGGTATCGCATCCAGAAGAACACACTCTTATAGGCCATAGAACAGCCTCGAAAGTAGTAGTAGTAGTGATATTTTTTTTCCAATCATGGATTACCATCGTTCAATATAATCGCGTATATTATCTTCAAAAATAGGAATACCTGTATCGACATACATCGAAAGTAAAAACATCGAGCGGTGTCATCCCAAAACCAACAGAACGATCATCAACGTTTGCACTGTTCCTTGTCGTTGGGCACCTTTTGTCCAAATGCAACATGGTTCGACGAAACGCTGTCCTGTAGTCAAACAAATGCACCTCTTTAGCCAGATGGATATCTGGCAGACTAAAGCTACAAAAACACCTTTCGAATCCCTGCGGCATAATATCGCTATTGTGCCAACACCAACAGCGCCAACGCGCCACCACCTTCTCGATTGATCCCGAAACCAGCGAGTCCTTCTCATAATCCCCAATTCACCCACCCACTCACTCCATCACCCACCCACTCACTCCACCACCCACCCACTCACTCCATCACCCACCCACTCACTCCATCACTCTCTCATTCACCCACTTTCCCCCATGGCCGGCGTCGACCCAGCGAAATGGCAGGCGCTGCTCAAGTGGACCATGAAGCACACGTCGGACGGCACGACGCCGAGCCCCGCGACGCCCATCTCGGCCGACAAGCGCCGCTTCCTCGAGCAGGTGATGGCCGAAGCAGTGCTCGACGAGAACGAGCGCGTGCGCGACATCCTCCGCATCGTACGGGGCGAACACCCGCGTCACGTCTTCAACAGCGCATTAGCGGCCGACACGTTATCCATAGACACAAACAGCGCCAAAGACGCCAACGACACTGACGACACTGACGACGACGAAGCGCTCGCGCTGTACCGAGAGGCGCTGCTCGAGGAGCTCGTGACCCGCGTGGATCAGGTGGACACTGCACAGAACTTGTGCAAAATGGACGGCCTCGCAGTGCTGCTGCACGTGCTGCGCACGGACGCGCGGCCGTCGACCCGTGCGCGGGCGGCAGAGGTCTGCGCGGTCGTCGTGCAGAACAACCCGTTCTGTCAGGACGCAGCGCTGGCCGCGGGACTGCTCGAGGCGCTCTGCGCGGTGGCGCGAACAGACGAAGACGTGACGTGTCGCGTGAAGGCGCTGCTGGGGATCTCGTGCCTCGTGCGCCACTGCGACGCAGCTGAGACGACGTTCCTCAGCGACACGTGCGACGGCCTCGCGCTCTTGCGGGACCACGTGGCAATGGCGTCGGACCTGCGGCTGCAGCGCAAGGCGCTCTTCTTCTTGCAGTATCTGATCGGCAGCAAGCGGGCGACGGCGCACGCGGTGCGCGAGATGGACTTTTACGTGCAGAGCGCTGCCGCGTTTATCCTGCACGAGGACGTGGACCTGTGTGAAAGCGCTGCCGACGGACTGGCGGCGTTTGCACTGCTGGGGCCCGAGTTTTTGGCGGCCTGCACGCAGCCCGAGCTCGACGTGGTGGGGAAGTGCGACGAGCGCCTGAGCCGGATCGATGCGCTTGCGCTCGAGCAACGGGAGTTGGCACAGGAGACGCGGGATCGGGTCGAGCGATTGAAGATGGTGCTCACTGCGTAGGGGCACTAGAGACAGTCAGTCGGCAATGAGTGAGTGAGTGAGTGAGTGAGTGGATCCAACGTGGCGGTGCGTGTTGCTAGTGCGACGTACGCTTAGCTGCTCAAACCTGTGCGGCTGTCTGGTCGACACAGACAGAGCTCAGACCGGTGCAACGTCACTTGCTCGACCACGTGCGCTTTAGCTTTTGCGCCACGTACAAAATGGACTTCACGCCTCCTGCCGTGGCAATGCCCTTGATACTTTGCGACCGACTTGACCGAAACACAATCGATGCAATCACGCGCTGCAGCTGCTTCTTGGTGACAGGCTGGTGGGCGTGCGGTCCACGTGCGTGGGACTTGGCAGCCAGACGTCGCAGCACGTTGGACGGCAGTGCCTCGACAATGGACTGCCTCACGTCCGAGTTGGCGGTATTGGCAACGAGCGTGTCGACGTCAGAGATGGAACGGGACATGAACGGAGAGTTCTTGCGAAAGGAAACACCACAGCACTCATGGACCGATGAGACATACGCTGACGAGAAAGAAACGACAGACACCATCACAAGTAGACACGTACCTGAATGTTGCGGCGGTAGAGCTCCTGGAAGGCCTTGACATTGCCGTCGACGATGTTGCGCACCTTTTTCGGGTTCTCACCAAACGTCATCCGGAAGTCGCCCAAGTACGATATCCCTGCGATTTTCTGCATGCAAAAGCAGTCGTCGACGAGATGAGCTGTTTGCATCGCGCATCGATCAGCACATCGTCGCATTACGTCGCACTGACCATATACAGCTCATGCTCTGAAAACGTCTCGGGCAGACAAAGCAGAGCATAGTGCAGCGCGTGGGACAAGTTCGTCGACGCCGCTGCCTGCATGCACTCGTTCGTAGCGAGAATCGTGACCTGCGTACACATCAATAGCCTCAACAGCGACGGCAAGTGAGCTCTCTCGTCCGTGTGTCCACAATGCACTCCAACTCGATCGATCGATCGATCTTCGTGCGTCAGTCGTGATGCACTGCGTACGGGTTTGTGCATGCGGCCGCTAAGATAGAGCGTCTTCCAGTGCGTCAGGTCTTCAAGCAGCGTCCGCGTGCTCACGACGCCGTATTTGACCAGTCGGGTCCCGAGCAGAGGACCTGTGAGAGGAACCTGTCGACCCAATGGCCACACACACAAATGAGATTAACTGCCGTCAGAAGCGCAGCGCACCTACATAGGCCCAGCAGCCGCTTCTTTGCCCATTCGCTCGCGCACTGCATTTTCGATACCATTGTGTTATAGTACACACCCGCACCCCACGTCTCCTGGAAGTCCGCGACGGCCGCAGCGCCACAGTACTGGAGCATCGAGTAGTGGTGGGGATGGCGCGCGAGGTTCTGCTCGTGCCAGGCGCGCGCGTCGTCGACCGCGAGCACGAGGTCGACCATACTGGAGCGGGCGTCGTGGTTCGTCTGCTGGAACACGGCCGAGCCGTAGGCCATCGCGAAGGCCGTGCGCGGGAACGTCGCGTCCAGCGCCTGCGCCAGCGCCGCGGCGAAGCTGCGGGTCATGCGTTTTGACACGGGTGGACGTGGAAGGGTGTGGTGCACATCAATTGTCGTGTATCTGGTATGGTTGACCGTAATTGGGCGGTCCGAGCATGTGTTGGGATAGCGGTCGATCTGTGTATCGATTTAGAAGGGGTTGAGAATAGATGCGAGGGACAGAAGCTGTGGCTTTATACGGTGCCACAGCATCTCGTTTGTTTTCAGTAGCTCGTTCCGACTGTTGCAACCCTCTGACAATCGATAACTGCCAGCACCTGCAAGCACATCGGTTTGTGTTTCTCGAGTCGTGCGGGATCGGCTGCTCACGAGACTTCAAGTCGATGTCGGGGCGGGGGAACGGGCTCGGGAAAGGACTTGATTCCTCATGAGCTCAACCTGCATCACACCATTGTGGTGCGAGCGCAAAGACGCCGTGTGTCGAGGCATCCAGTTTGCTTCGTCTTAATGTGGCTGGTGCTTCCATACGACAGGCGTACGTCCATTCAGTGCGTTCGCTTGTGTGAATAGGATAGAGCCGCTTCCGTGGCTCAAGCAGCTTCTTTACACGTCTGTCTCAAATTGTTCACCTTAGATCCTAGCGACGACTCGCTGCCCCCCCGACGGACTGCCACAAATCTCAGCCGGACCCGGCGCTCTAGTTCTAATCGACGAACTTCTAGAGAGATCGTGCCGCCAGCTACGGGCAATTGCAATACGCGAGCATCGAGCCGCGGCTACTGCTGTACGAGGGGCCCGACTTCATGCATGTCTTGAACTACTGATTCAAGAGCCCCGTGGACACCCGCCCTACGCGGGTGTCAGCCACGATCCGCTGCCGCGACCGGCGCTCATATCCTGGCTCAGGACTTTTCAGACATCTTGCCCACATTAAATATGTCAATAGATGATCATGAAACTCCTCCTCCTTCTAGAGAGATCGTGCACATCATCATAATGGGTGATGGACAGACAAGTTTTTGCTCTCCTCTGCTTCAGGATGTAAATAGTCCCATCTGGCGACCAGGTGCTGCGGGACAAATCGCTCTTCGGTAAGGGATGCAGGATCGCTGAGACGCCTTGCGATAGACTCGAGTGTCCTGTGCTCTGTCAATCGATGAAAGACCAGAATTAAGGGGGTCGCCTGAGCAAGTGTCTAACTACTGGGAGCATTCGCACCATCGTACCTTGGTGTTTCATGCCCACCCGGAGCTTCACCGTTTCCCTTGGAGTGTGCCAGAGACGGTGGCCAATGTAGATGTGTGGACAACACTTATGAAGCAAGCGTTTCACGTTCATAAACGCCTTCTGCACCCTGGCCTCCAGTCCTGGTTGAAGGCCTATGACGCGCAGGCGGTATCGAATAGTTGGCAGTCAGCTGCATCAAATCAAACGCCTTCCCAAGTTTGGAAACACGCAAACGGGCTAACGGAGTATCAAGTCTGGACATGCTATCGTATCGCGACAAAGCAGCTAAATCTATACCATGCCGGTCGCACGCTGGACAACAGTTGTCGTACGGTGCTGCACTGCCGAGGACGCAAAGAGACAGCGGCGCACATTTTCTGGGAGTGCCCAATCGCGCAAGCGTGTTGGTGTCACTTGATAGGACACTGGACCGGTGGGGGTGCGACGAACGCAGTTCTTTCCACCTTCTTTCAGCACTGCGCCAATCGCAAAGCCCCGCCCATTCCACATCAGCTGAGTTTGCGGTTGCAAAGCCGTTTTCAAGATGACTCTGACGCCGCAGCAACAGAATTCGAACGGATCTGGTTCATATTAAGCTCCATCTGCCAAGAACATTTGTGGACCGAGCGGAACTCGGCGGTCTTTAGAGGAGCCGTGACTACTCCATCCGCAAGTGTCCAAAGGTACTGGACACGCGGTGTTCGCCAGCTACGGGCAATTGCAATACGCGAGCATCGAGCCGCGGCTACGGCCGTACGAGGGCCCGACTTCATGCCTGTCTTGAACTACTGATTCAAGAGCCCCGTGGACACCCGCCCTACGCGGGTGTCAGCCACGATCCGCTGCCGCGACCGGCGCTCATATCCTGGCTCAGGACTTTTCAGACATCTTGCCCTCATTAAGGGATCAGGTCACTGAGATGACCTTGCGATAGACTCAGTCTCCTGTGCTCTGTCAATCGATGAAAGGAACGAGGCGGTCTATACAACGCGCGACTGTGGCTTCTCTTCGACTGGTTTTTGTGCTACATATGGTATGCAAGAATCAAGTTGAGAAGCTGGTCTCCACTGAGCTGATTTCTGGTCTCAGATGGCATATTGAGCTGCATACTATGGCAAGGACGATTGTAAGGATAAGAGCAGTGAAACGCACCTTCCAGTCTTGTGGCCATACGGTAGACACCGGACGCATGTCCCGAAAGCAGGGCTCAAACCGCACGCTGGATGATGGGCGCACTGCATCTCCGAGGCCCCCACTTCACCTCATTCCCACATTCACCCTCCAGCGAACACTCCTCCACACCCACAGTGAGCAATGCGTCTTGTTCACGCCGTGCTCCTGCCTGGCATCGTCGTCTTCGTGTCCACGGCGACTCTGCTACAAGCCCATGCTCTTCGTGGCGATGTGATGGATGATCCGGTGAGTGGCCTTCGCACCACTGGCGCGGAAGCGACCGCCGTGCATGAGAGTAGAATGGCTTTTGATCCATATAGAGAGATCGAGGCAATCAAGGATCTGATCCGGCCAAGCAGGTGGTTAGGGGAGATCCCTAAAGAGGCGATGGATATAGCTGAAGAAAAGCTGGGAGGCATCTTCAAACATTTATGGGATGAATGGTATCCGTTTAATGCTGGCGCAACTTATGATGACTTCACCAGCTCCGCTCACGGCAGTCGATGGACATCGGCTGTCGATTCAGTCAATGGCGAACTTGGGAACCAGCACTTCAATCACGAAGATTTTAAGTACCTGAAAGCGGAAGGTGAACGACGAAGTTAGTGGCGCGGAGAACGAGGCGACCGTAGAAATACTGTAGCGTCGTTAACGCGTTGCACTGACAGACGAATCATATACTGGAGAGTGAATTTGGCTTGATTGGTTTTGTTGCTTTATTCCGCTTTCTCTGTCATGGTTTTGTTTCCTGCTTTTTTGGAACATAGCATTCAACGCTCGCGGTGTGTCCCTTATCGTTCAGTGTAAGTCACGCCACTCGTGAGCGTTCGCTTGTAGGAAAGACTTACTGGTTCGCAGGTTTTCTGGTATGGGCTGCCACAAGCACCAAATGCACATCAACTAGAACCGACCGTAACAACAAATACGAGTACTACTTTCCACACGTAATACTACTAATTTTTACCACCACTACATGTAATACTACTACTTTTCACCACCACTACTCCTGCTCTGTCATCCGCGTAGCCACACCCCATGAACCTCGCGGCGTCTCTCGCGCTGCTCCTCGCGACGTGCAGTGCCGCGCACGAACTCAGCGGCGTCGTGCGCCCGCGCGCGTCCACTGCTGAACCGGTAGAGCCGCTGGTCGTGCAACTCGACGGCGGCGCGCAGACGGCGTTCGTGCGGGCGGACGGCCCGTTCCGCTTCGCCGACGTCGCTATCGGTCGCCACGTCGTGAGCATTCCGTCCACGGCGCTGCTCTTCGGGCAGTTCCAAGTGGACATCGAAGCCGACGGAGCGGTGCGCGTGCGCGAGGCTGCGTACGTGGGCGCTCCGTGGACGGCCGCGAGGTATCCGCTGGAGGCGGAGCCCGTGAAGGCGCTCGAGTACTTTGACCCGCGCGAGAAGTTCAACGTGCTGACGCTGGGGATGAACCCGTCGTTCTTGACGATCATTGTGCCCATTGGGCTCTTGTACGTGCTGCCGAAGCTGACGGCCGGAATGGGTACGTTTGTCGGGCGAGCGGTGGATTGTTTGGGTCTTTGGGGTCTTTGGGGGCCGCATTTTTGGGTCCCGCGCTGGGTCGTCGTTGGTTACTGATTTGTATGTGTTTGGTGTGTTTGGTGCGTTTGGTGCGTTTGTTGTCGGTATGTGGAGTAGACCCGGACGACGTGAAGAAAGCCCAAGAGGAGATGGGGTCGGCCGACCCGTCGTCGTTGCTGGCGGGCATGCTGGGCGGTGGACAGCCGAACGCCGACGACAGTGACGACGACTAGCTGGGTGGGGCGAAGCGGGACTGGGGTGAAGCGGAACTGGGTGTTCTTCATTGATGGGCTTGCAGCTTGTGGACGGAGGCAGTGAATGTCTCTTGTCGTGGAAGTGAGTAGCTCCACGGACCTGTGTGGCTCCGTTGCGGTGCTCGCGGTCTGCCAGTTGTGTGCAGTGGGGTTTTGTTGGCTGCACTTTTGTGCGGCACAAGTGGCTCATTGTTGCAGGAAGAGAGAGGTATTGCGCTGCTGTCTGCATGTGGTGGCTGTCGTTTCGTTCAGTTGGCTCGTGCTGCGCAGTGGCTCAGGATGAAACAAATACAGTGGTCGCGAACATGGCACTATCCTTTCCACCACCACACTCTCTCTTGACTCGGGTTTCAACATAATCGGATGGAAAGCAAAGGATAACGTTACTACTTTTGGAGCACACACATCTCCACGGCCGCCCGTCGACGAAAGAGCACACGATAGAGTAAATTGGAAAGGGACATGTGGACTGCAGTGAAGTAGCTAATGATCATCCACACGTCGGCTGCGTCTATTCCTCGGCACTCTTTTTCTTCTTGTGCTTCTTCTTCTTCTTCTTCTCCTTGTCGTCCTTCTTGTCGCCTTCGTCCTCCTCCACTTCCGTCGCCTTCTTCTTCTTGTGCTTCTTCTCCTTCTTCACCTTTGGCGCCGCCTCCGTCTCCTCCGCCTCCTCCTCAGCCTTTCGCTTCTTGCTCGACACTGTCATATCTGCATCGGCATTGTACGACGTGCTCGTCTCCGTCTTCGTATACTTCTTGGCCTCGTTCTTGACCTTCCCGTTGCTATTGGGGACGCCCG